TGGAACTCTGTATTGTCTGTATTGTGCTTGTGATATGTTGTAAAATGTTGTATGTCTGTTAATGTTTCCCTCCTTTTATCCTTAAAATAAAAAAAAAAAAAAGTGAAAAAAAAACTAACCCATCTTCAGACTCTAAAGAGTTGCTCCTTCTTTTGAATTAAAATCTTCATTTAACTTCTAATCCTTTGCCCTACAAATAACTCTTGAGGCCATATGCCTATGTGTGTCTATTTTTTTTCAGGGCTCAGGATGAATTCAGGGCCTCCATATGCTACACATGGCTCCTCTGCTGAACTACACTCTCAGCCCTTGAAGCTCTTGAAAGTGTAATACAAAAACACAGCACTATATCTGTGGTCTGACTGGTAGAGGAGAGTGAGATCATTCTCTTACTACATGATACCAGACAATAGAATCTTTTGAGTTGCAGACATTAGAAATGACACTGGGCCAAATGTCACAAGCTTGCACTCAAGCTTTATTGTGGGGAGGGGAAAGGGGGCCCCAGCTAAATCAGGGCTGAAGAGAGTAAGAAGTTAGTCAAGAGAGTAAGAAAGCTGCTGCTGCTAGAACAAAGAGAGGAGCATGTTTTTATCAGTTTGCTGGAGTAAGCTAGTCAGGTGATTTTCACTGGCTAGGGACATGGTTTCAAAAGACATTTTTTCTTGTGAGAGACACAGACCACCAGGTGGTTACAGTCCACTTGTCCTACAAGTTGTCCAATGTTCGTGCATCTGGCACCATTATGCTGCACAAATATTCTGGCCTTGTACTTAGTGCCCCAACAGGTGGTTGACTCCACTCAGGAACTGTTGAGTTGCCTTTGCAGCTGAGGTCATCATTTTGCATAAACATTCTGGGATTAATAAGGTTGGAGGCCTTTCAGTGTTTGAGTTGCTGAGAAATCACAAGAGTGAAGTAGAAGAAACATATAGCAGCTCCAAGGGACAACAGGCCAAATTAAACTTGTATCATGGGTTGACAAAACATTTGTTAAATGATCAACAGGTCTATGTGCAGAGTTGAGTAGAATCTGACTCAAGTTAATACAGTAAAGGGGATGGGCACAATATGAAGACAGAAAGGCCAAGCCTTTAATCCCATTTTAGTCACCTGGAATATTGGTAGGTCCAAGTGAAGTGTCAGAGTTTTCAGCAAAAGCAGGCTTCGGGACCCTCCAAAGTAACCCAGGCAACTGTTTTTATAGTCCACACATCAGAGGTGCCATCTACAGCAAAGCTAGTGGGAAACTAGTATGTATTGCCCAGCTGTGTGACCTCCAAAACTAGTCATTTTAAATTGCCTAAGAGCAAGTGAAGCCAGAGGGCTTATTTAGGTTATTTTCTTAGAAACAAGTCTCATTTCACGCAAACAATTCTGCTTCTGTGGTATTATGAGGGTCTCAGGACAGGTCTGTTGAAATATGCCATGATAAATAATCGTTTATTGCACTGAGGAGTTTGTCATTCCAGCCTTCTGTCCCACCACCAACTGTCCCGCTATATAGATAAGATGTTTTTGTTTTTGTTTTTGTCGCAGCAGATATTTACTTGGTTAGCTGTATTTGCCAAAAATATCACTTACCTGTCCACTCTTCTCTTACCTGCATGTTGTTTGTAGAACCAAGTAAAAGCTCTAATACTTAAGATTACATTTGACTATACCCTAAATCATTAGAATAATAATTTGTTACTTTGGGGGTTTTTTGTTTTTGTTTTGTTGTTTGTTTGTTTGTGCTGTGTTGGGGATCTAACCTACGCCTTGTACAATCCCCAGCTCAATAATTGTTAAACGTCATCTTATTATTATGATCATTACATTTAGGGGATTTACCACTGAAAATAAGACGTTCAGTCTCAGACCTCACCTCTTTTGACCTCGGGAATAGAAATGCTACCTCGCACTACATTTGCTTTTGGATTTTCAGTCCGCAATTAGATAGCCCGGTCCCTCTCAGCCTAGGCTACCTGGCCCAATGCCGCCCCGCCCACTCCTAGCCCGAGGCGGGAAACAGGGGATGCCAGCGCTGATTGGCTGTCTGGGGCGCAGCTTGATGGCGTCAAGATAGCGTCAAGTTGTAGAGCGACAGTCTAGGTCGCTGATTCGGGCGGAGGCTACCTGAGAGTGATGGGCTGGCGGCCGCAGCGTGGGATGGCTTTGGGTAGTGAAGGCTCCAGCCCTCCCTAAACTTCACCATGAGTTTCCTCATCGATTCCAGCATCATGATTACCTCCCAGGTGAGTCACCTACGCCCTCCCCGAACTCTCGGGTCTCCCGGAATCGCGCTCTGGGGCCTCAGCGCCGCGGCCTGGCCGAGGTTTCGCTTCTGTCTCGCGGCTCGCGCTCTCCGCACGGGTCTCCGGAGCGCACAGACAAGGTGGGATCCGCTGCGTCCGCTTCCCTCCGCCCCGGTTGTCTGAGGCTGGCTTTCGGCCGTGGGTGTTGCGATGGCCTTCACAGTTCACGTGTGAGAGGGGTCAGCCGGCCTCGGGGTCCAGAGGCTGGGCGCGGAAAGGGGAGCGAGCGATCCCTAAAGCTCCCCAAAGCTTCCGGACTGTGTCGCTGACCCAGAGGTTGCGGAAAGTGGGGTTCCGGGCGCGGGTGTGCGGTGCGCCAATCAGGGCTGAAAACTGGGGACACGTGTGGTTTTTGCTGTTCCTGTCAGATATTGAGTCTGAAAGCAGAGAAGTATTTGCCGCCCTCGCTTAAAGTATTGCGGTTTCGTGTCTGCACTGACACCTCTCCCTTTATCTGCTTGCTACTCACCCGAATCTCGTTTCTTCTTAGTTTTATAAAGCTCTGGAGTACACACATACATAAGACACTTTCCCTGCCCTCTAGAACCTTCATCTAGTGACCCTCTTGCTTTTACGTCATTCGTTGTTGGTCTAATTTTTCCTGTGGCTCTTACCATAGCGGTGATATTTAAGTATTTATAAGGTTTTTTGTTTTTTTTTTAAGATCCTGTATTGTCCGTACCTGTATACTCGGTTCCAAGAAACTGCAAGCACTCAAATAATTGTTGGCCGTCTGTTACCATTTGTAGAAGCTCCGACTACCTAATTATTGGCTGCCGCCACCAATGTACACAATAATTTAAAATATTCTTAGTTGTTCTTTCTTACAAATGGCAAATGAAAGAAATAATTCTTTTTGAGGGCATAAAGTAAGCTAAATTTTTGGGTTTTGATGTTTTTGTGCAGCTTCATCCTCGTGCTTCTGTCTGTACAGTAGAGCCCTGACCTTGCTCTTGAAAAACTTCTTTAACCACATTTAAAAATGAGGCAAAGGAAAACCGTTCATAGGCCCAGCGCTCTAATACCATACCTTTTTCCATGTTTTAAGTGTACTATCTTTTGTGTGATTTCTACTGTTTTCATGGATAACATAATATTCAAATATTTTGGTATACAAAAATCTGGACATGTAGCTGTCTTAAAACTTGTTCAAGGCTTTCTAAAACCCCTATGACAGTACAATACAGAGTTGTTTCTAGCCTTAGTACTAATTCAAGAAAATTAATATTTAAACTGCATTTTTTTCATTTAGAATTAAACTAAGAATATTATAAAAAGTTGCCATTGCATTGCAGCTTATAAGATTTTTAACACGGGTATAACTGAAAAGTTGAACCGAGGAAGTTGCTTTCTAATCTTTTGTGACTTAGTTTCATATACTTTAACTTTCATACATATATTCACATGAAATACTAAGTTTAACTATCTAACCTGCTCAGAACTAAAACCCAAAGATTTCTTTGCCTCAAATGTTTTCTGCCCATTTATTTGGCTATTTATGTGTATTTATGTGGCTATTGTATCATCACTTAAGTATCAGTAAAAATGTCACTTCAGGGAGGCTTTACTTGACCTCTTATCCTCAACAAAAGTGGCCTTTCATTCTGGCCACCTTCTTTCTCATTTCCTGTTTAATTTTTTTTTTTTTTTCACATTTATCAGGGTTATTTGTGTGTTTCTGTTTGTTATCTATAGACACCATAAAATCAAAAATGTTATCTTTTCTGTCCTGTATTCCCTAGTGTCTACATCAATTGTTGGTCCATAGTGGAAGCCTAATAAGTACTTCTTATTAATTTAATAAGAAGCTCTTCTCACTGGCTAGGAATATAGCTCAGCAACAAGTGCCTGCCTGGCAAGCACAAGGTCCTGGTTTGATTCCCAGTACCAAAAAAATAAATAAATAAAAAGCTCTTCATTAGATGCAGTTACATACTTTCAAAACAACCCCCCACACACATTTTTGTGTGTGTGTTGACAGATTTATTTGAAATGAAATCAGGAATCGAAGGTCACATATCAAAACTTGTCAGCCTCAGACAATGGTCTTAGTGTAGCAGTTGTTCACCATGCCACAGGAGAAGCTCCAGCTCTTTAATACAGTTTATAGGATCCCTTAGGTTGGACCCTGGCATCGAGCTCTTCAACCTTGGTTTTCACCTTATCCTCACTTCACATTAGACTTCTAAACTTCTGTTAGTTCCCAAACCTGCTCTTGCTATCATGCCACCAGATTTCCACTTGCCTTAGTTCCAGAAAACTGCACATTTTCTCAAATTTGCACACAATACCAGATTTTAATCTCAAATTACAACTTCCTTCAGTTTAGGTATGTAATTTGGGATTAAAATCTGGTATTGTGTGTAAATTTGAGAAAATGTATGAAAGAAGGTAATGACTCGTCTCTCTTTTTAGACATCTTTCCCTCATATCCCTTCCCATCTTTCTCTTGGCAAACTCCTATTCAACCTTTAGATCGTAGCTTGGACATCCAGTCTAGGACATCTAGACTGGATTAGATTGATGCTCCTGTACATGCTGCCATAATGTCCTTCACCCATTTCCCTTACTTATAACAATGCTACCATGTTGTTTTGTAATTACTTATTTAATCTCCTCTTTAGATTATAAAACCCCTAGAAAGCAGCATTCATGGTTTCTTACTCACTACTTCATCACTAGGACCCGGCACATATTATACACTAAGAAATATTTGTTGAATGAGTAAAGGATGAATAAATTACCCAAGAAAAGTGTCTTTTTCCAGTTAGTCTTTAATAACTAATACCTGGGGCTGGGGATTTAGCTCAGTGGCAAAGCGCCTGCCTGGCAAGCGCAAGGTCGTGAGTTCCGTTCCTGGTACCAGAGAAAAAACCAAAAAAAAACTAATACCTATTTTTTTTTTTTGACTCTGTAGCTAATTTTCAACCTAGAGGTCATTTTTATAAAAGCAACTATTATTTGACATATATTTTGACCCCTCTATACAATCATAAGACTTCTCAATTCCAGAGTACTCTGAGTACCAAGGTCAAGGCTCTACTCTGCACAGTTCTAAATGTTTATTGTTTTTTTTTTTTTTTTTTAATTGTGCTGTACTGGGGTTTAAGTGCAGGACATCACTCACAGTGGAATTCATATTTATCTCAGGTGTAATAAATCCTGCAATTACTTTTTGTTGTTTTAAGAGGTGGGGGTCTCCCTGTGTTGCCTAAGCTGATCTCAAAGGTCTGGGCTCAAGTGATCCGCCTGCCTGAGCTTCCTTTAGTAGCTGGAACTAAGGCAAGTGCCACTGTGCCTGGCTGCAAATACTTTTATGTGAATGGTTTAAAAATCTTTCAAAAGCTTCATTTGTCAATGGGAAAGTAGCCAGTGATAAAGTGTTAAAGGTGTATGTCCATTTTTCTTTTTGTCCGTTCTCTATCTCATCATACAAATTTACAATTTTTACTTATTTTCACTCCTTTGTCTAAAGCCTCATTTCACATGATCTTATTAATATTTTTAATTATTCATCTCCACCATATATACCACTCCCAATCACAATTGTTCAAGTTCTCTACCTTCATTTATGGCTTCAAACAGTTATCTAATGTCTCCAAATAGTCTAGGGATTTTTTTACTCCCTGTTTGCCCTTTTCTGCTTGAACTGCATTTGTGGATCCAGGTTACTTCCTTGTACCCTCTTGTTCCTGTACCTTCTGTTTTAGTCACTTTCCTCACTGCTGTGAGAAAATAACTCAACATTCACAAATTAAAGGAGAGGTTTATTTTGGCTCATGTTTCAGTCCAAAACTGGCTATCTCCAAGGCAGAAGGGTGTGGCAAAGGAAAGCTGCTCATCCAGGATGCAGAGAGTGAAGAAAGGAGCTGGAGAGGGAGATAAAGTCTTCCAGGCTAGGACCCCAGCAACCCACTTCTTCCAAATCCCACCTCCTAAAAGCAAGTCAGCTATAAGCCTTCATAGTCCAGTCACCTTCCAAAAGCCCTGCCTATGAGCACATGAGGTGCTTGGGAGACACCTAGATATAAGCCATAACCTCTCTGTAGAAAAGTCCACAGTGGGGCTGGGGATTTAGCTGGGGCTGGGGATTTAGCTCAGCGGCAAAAGCGCCTGCC